CGGCTTATTTTATGAAATGGCACTTTCTCGTTCTTCTGAGTTTGTTTCCTTATGGTTGAAATGCACTTATTGTAAGTCTCTTTGGATAAAAGCGTCAGATAAATGTAATGTGATGTAATCGGACATTTGCATCAAGCTGCCTGCGCCCCCGGTGGCCTGAAGGGGGCAGAGTGGCACCACTTTGTGTGTCGGTGCTGCTTCCTGTGAGTTAGTCTGCATTAAGGAACCATCATTGAGGGGTGATGAAAACTGTCAGACACACACACACACACACACACACACAGACACACTTCACACTTTGCGTTGGAGTGTGCTGCATATTTTACCAAATTAAATATATCTCTCCTGACTTGACACATGCACACACACTCCGTCGTCCCAGTGCAAAGACATTCTCACTGTCAGGCTCCGCCCTCCGCATATGCATATATATATTATATTATATATATATATATATATATATATAGCCTTTTATGCACCAAATGGCAGAACAAGAGCTCATGATACTTTTGATTGGTGAATTAGTTTTTTGTACTGAAACTACAAAGCTGCTGGCAAAATGTATTTTTGTAGTTTAGCATTGCTGAGGTTCTTCCACAAACTCTTCTTACTTCCATTAGTATTATTGCAATAAGATACTGACACCCCCCCCCCCCCCCCCCCCCCCCCCCCCCCCCCCTCCCTCCTGGTCACATGACTTTACGTCTCACCGCTGAGCCTCTTCAGTGTCATTCACAAGCAGCTCTGAACCTTCGAAACCTGAAGCCACTTTTAGTTTTTATTGTATATATTGTTTCACACTCCATGATCATGAAAGTTCGTTTGGTCACATGATGTAACACATGGTTACCACGGTTACGCTTCTCCAACCAGCAGGGAGCGATCTCGAGTCGATAAGTCCGGAGAGTTTTAAAAGATACTTTTATGGTTGCTACAAAATGTAGATTATCATCCCATTTGGCTATAAAGCAAAGCCCCCCCCCCCCCTGCTGTGCGTGAGTGTGTCTGTATTGTATTGTTCTTCACAGAATCTATGAAGCCGCCCAGATTACCAGGTCATGTGTTTTGGCTCAAGCGGGTCACTGGAATATTACGGCTTAACGCCGGAATTCAAACCACGGCGGACTTTGACTTTGCTGCTGGTCTTAGTACGAGGTTTTGTCTCTTTGCCGTTTTGCGTGTCTTTGTAGTCGTTTTGTGTCTTTGTAGTCGTTTTGTGTCTTTGTTGTTTTGCGTGTCTTTGTAGTCGTTTTGTGTCTTTGTAGTCGTTTTGTGTCTTTGTCGTTTTGTTTCTTTGTAGTCGTTTTGTGTCTTTGTTGTTGTTTTGCGTGTCTTTGTAGTCGTTTTGTGTTTTTGTAGTCGTTTGCGTGTCTTTGTAGTCGTTTGCGTGTCTTTGTAGTCGTTTTGCGTGTCTTTGTAGTCGTTTTGCGTGTCTTTGTAGTCGTTTTGCGTGTCTTTGTAGTCGTTTTGCGTGTCTTTGTAGTCGTTTTGTGTTTTTGTAGTCGTTTAGCGTGTCTTTGTAGTCGTTTTGCGTGTCTTTGTAGTTGTTTTGCGTGTCTTTGTAGTTGTTTTGCGTGTCTTTGTAGTCGTTTTGTGTTTTTGTAGTCGTTTAGCGTGTCTTTGTAGTCGTTTTGTGTCTTTGTCGTTTTGTTTCTTTGTAGTCGTTTTGTGTCTTTGTTGTTGTTTTGCGTGTCTTTGTAGTCGTTTTGTGTTTTTGTAGTCGTTTTGCGTGTCTTTGTAGTTGTTTTGCGTGTCTTTGTAGTCGTTTTGTGTCTTTGTAGTCGTTTTGTGTCTTTGTAGTCGTTTTGTGTCTTTGTTGTTTTGCGTGTCTTTGTAGTCGTTTTGTGTCTTTGTAGTCGTTTTGTGTCTTTGTCGTTTTGTTTCTTTGTAGTCGTTTTGTGTCTTTGTTGTTGTTTTGCGTGTCTTTGTAGTCGTTTTGTGTTTTTGTAGTCGTTTTGCGTGTCTTTGTAGTTGTTTTGCGTGTCTTTGTAGTCGTTTTGCGTGTCTTTGTAGTCGTTTTGCGTGTCTTTGTAGTCGTTTTGCGTGTCTTTGTAGTCGTTTTGCGTGTCTTTGTAGTCGTTTTGCGTGTCTTTGTAGTTGTTTTGCGTGTCTTTGTAGTCGTTTTGTGTTTTTGTAGTCGTTTAGCGTGTCTTTGTAGTCGTTTTGCGTGTCTTTGTAGTTGTTTTGCGTGTCTTTGTAGTCGTTTTGTGTTTTTGTAGTCGTTTAGCGTGTCTTTGTAGTCGTTTTGCGTGTCTTTGTAGTTGTTTTGCGTGTCTTTGTAGTCGTTTTGCGTGTCTTTGTAGTCGTTTTGTGTTTTTGTAGTCGTTTAGCGTGTCTTTGTAGTCGTTTTGTGTCTTTGTCGTTTTGTTTCTTTGTAGTCGTTTTGTGTCTTTGTTGTTGTTTTGCGTGTCTTTGTAGTCGTTTTGTGTTTTTGTAGTCGTTTTGCGTGTCTTTGTAGTTGTTTTGCGTGTCTTTGTAGTCGTTTTGTGTCTTTGTAGTCGTTTTGTGTCTTTGTTGTTTTGCGTGTCTTTGTAGTCGTTTTGTGTCTTTGTAGTCGTTTTGTGTCTTTGTCGTTTTGTTTCTTTGTAGTCGTTTTGTGTCTTTGTTGTTGTTTTGCGTGTCTTTGTAGTCGTTTTGTGTTTTTGTAGTCGTTTTGCGTGTCTTTGTAGTTGTTTTGCGTGTCTTTGTAGTCGTTTTGCGTGTCTTTGTAGTCGTTTTGCGTGTCTTTGTAGTCGTTTTGCGTGTCTTTGTAGTCGTTTTGTGTTTTTGTAGTCGTTTAGCGTGTCTTTGTAGTCGTTTTGCGTGTCTTTGTAGTTGTTTTGCGTGTCTTTGTAGTTGTTTTGCGTGTCTTTGTAGTCGTTTTGTGTTTTTGTAGTTGTTTTGCGTGTCTTTGTAGTCGTTTTGCGTGTCTTTGTAGTTGTTTTGCGTGTCTTTGTAGCCGTTTAGCGTGTCTTTGTAGTCGTTTTGCGTGTCTTTGTAGTCGTTTAGCGTGTTTTTGTAGTCGTTTAGCGTGTCTTTGTAGTCGTTTTGCGTGTCTTTGTAGTCGTTTTGCGTGTCTTTGTAGTTGTTTTGTGTCTTTGTAGTCGTTTTGCGTGTCTTTTTGAATGCGTGTGGGCTCGTTTGGCTGGTTGTGTATCTCTTAACGCCGTACACACACACACATCGTTTGATCAACGTGTTGTTGGGGGAGGATTCTAATGAAAGGCTTCTGAAATCAGGTGTGAAGGCAAATCTCCGCCTCACCATATATGTGCACTGCCTGCTTTGCCGGCCCGACTGCACCACGCGGAAGTGACTTCCTCTTGACCGAGAGGTGACGCGGTTGCCGTGGTGACAGCATCATGCGAGGGAAGAGGGGCTCCGGCGGCTCGCTGCATTCTGTCCTCCTCCCAGCAGTAGGTTTCCTTCCCAGCGTCCACAGCGTGATGGGAGCTCAGCGTGATGGGAGCTCAGCGTGATGGGAGCTCGGCGTGATGGGAGCTCGGCGTGATGGGAGCTCGGCGTGATGGGAGCTCAGCGTGATGGGAGCTCAGCGCGCTTCCGTCCAGACGCTTTGTTTTCATATCAACAAATCCCACCATCAAACGCCAGGGATTCATCACAAAGACCCTCAAACTCACAAATACTCATCACTGTGAGACGTAGTACTTGTGTATCTAGAGTTGCAAAGCATCATGGGGGATTGTACCTTTGTGTACGTACAAAAGGTTTTGTATGTATTAAGATCCTTTGAAAAGGCTCAAATATATTATTATTATTAATGTCCTTGAAGCACCGTGATGTCATTTCAAGTTAAAAAGCGTCCTCTGATTCATGGCTTTTGTCCCCCGTTGGACCTCCCTGGTCGGTGGCGTCCCCTCACAGAACTCTCGGGTCAGTCGCTCCCCTCCAGCCCCCACAGACCCATTTACGAAGATCCCTCGATCACACACTTCCTGCCGGGATGGAGCCTTATTAGTCTGCATCACCATCTCTCGCCCTTTGTCTGTCTCTGTCTCTCGCCCGCTCGCTGTCTTTTGTGTCGTCCTGTAGACGAGTGGAGGTTTCGGGAAGTCGGCGTGACACACGCCGTAATGCGCTCCTCGTTTCCCCGTCAGTCTCACGGGCGCTTTAATCACACCAATACAATGAACGCTGCTGGAAGAAGGTCAGGTGGCGTCAAATAAGCGTTCGCTAATCCGCTCGGCTGCGTGGAACTTGGCTCGAATCCGGACACAGGTGTCCGTCTGCGCGCCGCCTGGGGTCGCCGAGAGTCCCACTGCCGAGGAGATCATCGATATCGGGGGGGGGGGGGGGGCTGCCCTGCTTTGAAAAAAAATCAACCCGGGTCGTCTCCCCCCCTCCAACAAACCCAAATGCTCAGGGGTGGGTTGCTGCTGCTGTTGTTTCTGTGAAGATGCCTTTCTCCTCTGAGGGCGTCTGGTAGATAAGACCCACATCGCAGTCTTCACGCTCCGCTCCGTCCAGAAGGAGAGTTTACCTGCAGCAGCGTCACGTTCCCAGAGACGGCAACTCAAAACAAACACGGGCCGAGATGAAGTTGCTTTCGTCTATATGGGAGAAGGAAGAGAAATAACCGGGATTAAAGCCCGTTATCCGACACTGATGAATAACACGTGTAGAATGTGCCAAACAAAAGGAAGCAGTCGGATTTCAGTCATATATATGTGGGGCTCCTTTTTGTGGGGGTGAACTTTATTGCAAGTCTTTGCTCTGTAGAAACGGGGGGGAACATTAGCTTCTGATTCAACGGTTTTCTGCTGGAATAAAGGAGCTCTTGTCCGCTCGCTGCCGCGTGTGCACGTCCGTAATCGGCCCCCAGCTGGGAAAAGTACCTGCAAAAACAGGCGTTAAATCTTAACGACCTTTCTTTATTTGATTGTGCAGATGCAAATGTTTCCTTGCAGGCGTGGCTGCAAACGTAGACGGTTTCTGATTTTATGTTTTCCTCTGCTGCGTCACGCTCAGTACGAGCTTTTGTGTGTTGTTTGCTTCGTCAGGTTGTGCGACCCCCGAGGAGCTGACCACGGAGCGAGCCCACTCCGCCGTGGGGGAAATGTTTGGGACCCTGCGAGGTTTGAGCCACACCAGAGACCACCTGAAGCAGCTTCGCTCCGTCTACACGGCCAGCGACGGAGTTCACCAGGTCTAAGACACACACACACACACACACCCCCAGTGTCAACATCACAACACGCACACAATTTTGTCAGTACTTACCACGCGGCAGACCGTGGTTCTGAGGAGACGAAGCCAAAGCGCCACGTGTTAAAGCTGCATTCTGTCTCCTGACCAGCAGGGGGCGACTCCTCTGCTCCCATAGACGTCTATGAGGAAATGACTCCACTTCTCTGTAGTGACCAGCAGGGGGCGACTCCTCTGCTCCCATAGACGTCTATGAGGAAATGACTCTACTTCTCTGTAGTGACCAGCAGGGGGCGACTCCTCTGCTCCCATAGACGTCTATGAGGAAATGACTCTACTTCTCTGTAGTGACCAGCAGGGGGCGACTCCTCTGCTCCCATAGACGTCTATGAGGAAATGACTCTACTTCTCTGTAGTGACCAGCAGGGGGCGACTCCTCTGCTCCCATAGACGTCTATGAGGAAATGACTCTACTTCTCTGTAGTGACCAGCAGGGGGCGACTCCTCTGCTCCCATAGACGTCTATGAGGAAATGACTCTACTTCTCTGTAGTGACCAGCAGGGGGCGACTCCTCTGCTCCCATAGACGTCTATGAGGAAATGACTCTACTTCTCTGTAGTGACCAGCAGGGGGCGACTCCTCTGCTCCCATAGACGTCTATGAGGAAATGACTCTACTTCTCTCTTGATTTATTCCCTCAGTAAACATTGTAAACATGAGTTTATGGTCTCAGTCTCTAGTTTCAGGTCTTCTTCATCCAGCATGATGTTTATTTAGTGACTGATGGTCCATTTAGGGTCAAACAGGCCATAAAGCAGGGGATGATTTAGGGCGGGGCTACACGTTGATTGACAGGTCTGTACCAGGGACAATACGCCGTCCCTACGTCCTCCTCTGCCCAAATATGGTCACTTTAGTTTATTGGTTGCAAAACAAAACATGGCAACAGCCATAATCCAAGATGACGACGGAAAAATCTACAAAATCGTCATATTTCTTACATTTCTACATTCATGGCGCTTACACACAACTAGCGGATATTGTTGCTAGAAAAGGTGGAGGTCACTTCGTCGCCCCACAGAAGGCCTCCACACAGTATTTGCTTATCGCTGTTGCTCACACACAGACGCGTCTGCCGGCAGAGATTCGGCGACCTCGGACGCCTTTGTTGCTCTGCGTCACTCGGCGGAATCACTTTGTTCCTCTTACGTAAGTCAGAAGACGGAATCTTCTCCTCCTTCATCCACATCTGCTGCTTTGTGTTTCCAGAGAACTACAGGATCATAACGGTCTGTTGGGGACAGTTCAGGACGATTTAGAAGGTGGACACATAAAAAAAACTAGAAGTGATCTTGAACAAAAGCTCTGTGGCAGCAGGAGACTCGCGTCGTTCTCTCTACGTCATAGTGATTGAGGCTTTTATTTTTCCAGTTCTTCAATAAGCTAATTATTACATCTCAAAGCCTCCTGATGCCCCCAAATGAAACTAAATGTAGAACATTTCATTCATGTTCATGCATTTTCCAATATAATCGTCACAGACATCACATTATGTATTCACCCACAGATTAAAGGAACATTCACTTAAATATGTTTAAATGCGTCATTGTGCAGAGATATGGATGACGACATTGATGAAACTGGATAAAAGTCAGCTGGATAAAAGTTCCTTTTCATGCGGCCTCAGTAGGAAAAGACCCGAGGTGTATTTCTCTCGTGTCATTGGTCTCCTACAGTTTGACGGTGAATCATTCATTACAAGCTCTGTGTTATTTGTTGAATTCAAGACGAATCTTTCTGTTGAGGACAAGAAGCTTCTTCTGTACTGCTCTAAACTACTGACCCCATTGATCGGTTTGCCCACCAAGCAGCTGTCAAAAGCAGATGTTCCTTCTTTTCTTGGTACTTTCACTCTCATCATTTCCTCCAAACATCAATGTCAGAGGGACCAAGATGAGAGCCGAAAACAGCTGTTATCACATCGCCTCCCCTGCGTGTACAGTGTGTGTGTGTGTGTGTGTGTGTACAGTGTGTGCGTGTACAGTGTGTGTGTGTGTGTGTGTGTGTGTGTGTGTGTGTGTGTGTGTGTGTGTGGCTGTTGCAGGAGGACAGCACTGTCTGTTCTTGTTGCTGCCGCGTCATGAAGATGATTTCATATTGATGGAGGTCAGCGGGACGTCTGGCGGCTCACCGGCTGTTCTTGAGGAAACTCCAGAAATCCATCAGCGAGACACGGGGACCGGATCAGGACCAGCCGGTGGCTCCTCCCCTTCTGCAGAATAATCCGGCGTGTCCTCGCTGATAATGGAGATCATCATAACTTTATTATTATTCTGACCACGATATCCCCGAAGACATTCCAGCCTGTTCTGTTCCCCGGCCGGCCTGTTGTTTTGGAACATTCACCTCTACGCTGCACGTGTGTGTGTGTGTCTGTGTGCGTGTGTGTGTACTGTGTGTGTGTGTGTGTACTGTGTGTGTGTGTGTGTGAGCACTCTGCCATTATCATATGACTCATTTTAATATTGTTTTGCTTTTACCTTTTATGGGGATAGTAAAGTGTGTTTGTGTGAGCGTGGGCTGGTTGTGTGTGTGTGTGTGTGTGTGTGTGTGTGTTGTTCCAGTGGAGGTGAATCACTGATTTGTTTACTCCCCTCTGAGCTGACTTGTGCATCAGAGCGATGTGGGTAGAAGTAAATATCCGTTTGTCTCACTGTGGCTTTGCAGATGTTCTGATGTGCTCTCAGCACATCGTGGAGGAGCTGAGGCTTCTCCACGATGGAGGTGGGCAGGAACACCTGGATGCTTGGGCTGTGTGTGTGTGTCCCGTCCAGATGTTCCACAGCGCGCTTTTGTCCGGGCAGGCGGCCCAGACGTGTCACCTGACTCGTGTCCTGGACCATTTTTTTTATTTTGCCCCCCCCCCCCCAACTCTGCAGGACACGCTGACATCACATCAAAGCCCCTTTTAACTCCTCCCCCTTTTCTGAGGCGCTGTACACTGAGAACAGAGGAAGCGCCGTCATGTGCAGAGTTACACATATATAAATGTATATCAGGCTTAATTTGAAAACCACCTCCATCTTTACCGCTTAAAGAGTCACCACCTTCTGCCCTGTTGTTATTGGGGGCTGTTGATTTAATAAAAGCCTCCGTTTGTCTCCTCCATGTGACTCGTGAGTCAGCCACATGTTTTTTAACGCCCACATGGTGATAGAAGGACCCCACTACACAGATGGATGCTGTGTGACGTCAGACTTCTATGTTTAGGAACAAAGCAGCGGTTCATGTTGCAGTGTCTTATTGTGCAGCGTCTCTGTTTCACGCGACAGGCCACCTACCGGCCCTTCCTGCGCCAGCTCCTGGAGGAGGTGTTCCACCCCGACAGACCCGAGTGCCCCGACATAGAGCACACGTCCGGGGGCCTCACCGACCTGCTGAAGACCGGCTTCAGCATGTTCATGAAGGTCAGACTTGCACACAGGGGTCACAGGTCGGATCCTCCTGCCCATAGAGCTCTATTGTCTTCCTGTTTTATTGTAGGGGGGGGGGGGGGTTACATTTTGGGGACTTGTTCAGCTCCCATATTTAAACGGTTTCCCCAACTTTGGCAGTAGTTGGATGTTGCTTTTCAGGGCTTTTTTAAACAGGCCACGCCCCCAGGAGTCCGCTAACCAATCGTATCAGGGAATGAATTTTTCGGTGCGGTTTTAGAGAACAACTAACGTGAAACTGCTTCATGTTCATTTTCATGAATATCGAGAAGGACGATACTCATCATTATTCTTCCTTTTATTTTAAAAGCATCCGAGAAATGAGCAGGACTGTGTTCACTTTCTACACTGATCATTAATATAATTTATGCTGGTTTATTTCTGGCTTGGTGACAATAAAGGGGGGGGGGTTCAGTTCGAGACGAGATTTCACCACTGCGACAAAACGTCTTATCTCATAAACCATGAGTGCTGAAAAAATAAAGAAATCAATCAATCGTCCACATTTTAGTCTCATCAGCGGCGTTTTTTCCAGAAGCTCCAAATCCAAACAGTCACCAGAAAACTGTGTAAACCCGTAAAAGTGGAACATTTTAATATCTGAATATTCCATAAATATTCAGATATTCAAATGAATAAATAAAATAAAATAAATAGTTCAAATAATGTGAGTGACACATTACAGCGCAAAATAAATATAACATTAACCCATTTTCAGTTTTCCTAAAAAAATTAAAACGCTGAGCAGCCAAAACATTTCACATGTTGTCTCATTACGCCCCCCCCCCCCCCCCCCCGCCTGAGGAAACGTGGTTCACACTCCATAGATGCATCACCACAGGGTGGGGCTGTGTCGCACACTTCCCTTTTGTGACCTCAACACATGTTGAATCATTCCCCGACATGCTTCCTCTCATCCCGCTTCACGTGTTCAGACCCCCCCCCCCCCGCCTCCCGCCACACGCTCACACGTGCCGGCCGGGTGGGGCTCTGAAGCAGCAGCAGAATCCTCCCTGGTGGTTCGTCTCCGTGCGGAGGACCCGGGAGCACACGTGTGACCCCCAGCTCTTTGAGTCATGATGATGATCACATGTGTGTAGCTGAACATCGACGCACCGGGACACGCGTGTTCCTCAGTCTACGCCACTCCATGAGTTTTAGTCTGTTCATTAAAGGAAAAAGATTTCAACGAGTTACCATTAAATACCAATTCATCTGCATATTCAAACATTGCATCTTATAAAACTTGTGCTGCATTAAATTCTCCTTTTAATATTGTGAAGTTTCAAACTGCAATAAATAATTGTCTTAACGTAAAGAGTTACCTGAGGATGTTTCCTGGTGAGATTTTTAACAAACTGACCAATCACGTCTCGTCTGCAGGTGAGTCGTCCGCATCCCGGCGACAACCCTCTGGTGCTCCTCTTCCTGGTGGGCGGAGTCACACCTTCAGAGCTCCGCCTCATCAGGGACACCGCCTCCACGCACAAACCGGGGACTCAGGTGAGTCGATGACCAACAGGTAAATTCTCTTTCAGAATAAAACCCTTCAGCGGCTTTCACAACCACGCTGTTTATGACGCCGACCTCATCGCAAATTTAATTGCGTTCATTTTTTACGGCCTGAGCTCAAACCTTGTTTATGAATCTCACATTTTACTCTATAAAGGGCTCGTAAATGAATAAATAATCTATTTATTGTATACTATCAATAAATATGCAAATGTCAACAATATATATATATATATATATATATATACATATAAAGGCTCCCGCGTCTGATGTTTTATAACAAATTGATGGAAGTCAGCCGGCGATCATTGGGCTCAACTGTCGTTATAGCAGAATCTCGCGTTATAAATTCGAAATACACGGAGAAATACACCGTACCCGGCAGGGATCACTCCCTTTTTGCATCATACTCGACACAATCTCGTCTTATAATGAAGCACTTCTCCACTTAATCATTATTGGGGCCGAGGATACTCCTGAGGCCTTTCCCCCCTTTTGGCCCCCCAGGGCCGGCATGAACCCTTGGAACATTCACCTCTCCCCTAAGCGTGTGTGACTTTGTCTGCGCCCATATGTATGTACGACATGTCAGGGTGTTTCCCGGGGGGGAGGGGTGGCGGCCGCCTCTCATGGTCTTTTTATTGTGTTTGGGGGGGTGGAGTTTGACCCATTGGGGGGGGGGCAAAGTGTGTGTGTGTGGGGGGGGGGGGGTTGTGTGTGTGTGTGTGTGTGTGTGTGTGTGGGGGAGGAGGGGGGTGATGTGGTTCTGTCTTAATCTTAATTCTGAGAAAGGAGGTGAGATCAAAGCCGTCCGTCTGTAATCAGGAGAAACTGAATAAAAACAAGCTTAAACAAGGCGTGTGTGTGTGTGTGTGTGTGTGTGTGTGTGTGTGTGTGTGTGTGGGTGTGGGTGTGTGTGTGTGTGTGGCTTCGGTCCGCAGACTTTGCTTTTACAAATAGGACGAGAGTTAAACGATAAGAACTGAATCGCGGAGAAGTCGATGAGCTGAAGTGACCGAACGGTTCGAATTATCAACAACTGGGCTAATCGATAAGTAGGGAAGCCACTACCCAGCATGCATCTGGCTGTTTGATACCTTATAGTAAATAAGATGGATGAAAGGTCGGAACTCTACCAGAACTCGAGCTCCTCTTCTCCCACCTGTTTGTTTGCGTGACTTTTTGTCTCTGAGCGTAACACAAGAGTTTGTTTCACTCCAGAGAGGTTCACGTGGAGGTTCAGGTGGAGGTTCAGGTGGAGGTTCAGGTGGAGGTTCACGTGGAGGTTCACATGGAGGTTCACGTGGAGGTTCACATGGAGGTTCACGTGGAGGTTCACATGGAGGTTCACATGGAGGTTCACGTGGAGGTTCACGTGGAGGTTCACGTGGAGGTTCACATGGAGGTTCAGGTGGAGGTTCACATGGAGGTTCACATGGAGGTTCAGGTGGAGGTTCAGGTGGAGGTTCACATGGAGGTTCACGTGGAGGTTCACATGGAGGTTCACATGGAGGTTCAGGTGGAGGTTCACATGGAGGTTCACATGGAGGTTCAGGTGGAGGTTCACGTGGAGGTTCACATGGAGGTTCACATGGAGGTTCAGGTGGAGGTTCACATGGAGGTTCACATGGAGGTTCACATGGAGGTTCACGTGGAGGTTCACGTGGAGGTTCACGTGGAGGTTCACATGGAGGTTCACGTGGAGGTTCACATGGAGGTTCACATGGAGGTTCAGGTGGAGGTTCAGGTGGAGGTTCAGGTGGAGGTTCACGTGGAGGTTCACGTGGAGGTTCACATGGAGGTTCACATGGAGGTTCAGGTGGAGGTTCAGGTGGAGGTTCACATGGAGGTTCACATGGAGGTTCACGTGGAGGTTCAGGTGGAGGTTCACATGGAGGTTCACATGGAGGTTCACGTGGAGGTTCACATGGAGGTTCACATGGAGGTTCAGGTGGAGGTTCACATGGAGGTTCACGTGGAGGTTCACGTGGAGGTTCACGTGGAGGTTCACGTGGAGGTTCACGTGGAGGTTCAGGTGGAGGTTCAGGTGGAGGTTCAGGTGGAGGTTCACCTGGAGGTTCACGTAGAGGTTCATGTAGAGGTTCAGGTAGCGGTTCACGTAGAGGTTCAGGTAGCGGTTCGCTCCACATCGCCGTGGGGAGGCGCCCTCGCCGCTCCTCGGATGAATACAAAGAAGCGACTGATTCAGTCACTCGCTGAATGACTTACTCCTCTTCATTCAAACCCCCGTGACCCATCTTCTCCCTGACGAGTCTCCTCTTCTTGTTCCAGGTGCTGGTTCTGTCCACCAGGTTACTGCGGCCCACCGATGTCCCCGAGCTGCTCTTCCCCCCACGCGGGAGGACGCCACCCCCCGCCGGCATCTAGGACACGTGCGCCGCAAACACCTCACAACACCTCGCCGGGTCAGGAGTCGAGGCCTCGTTAATGAGAACCACTGTTGGGGAGGGAGGGGGGAACGTTCCTGTATATCATTCCACACGTTCTTTATCCAAGAGAAGATATTTATTTTTGTTGAAGGAACATAAAAAGAAATTGAACATTTCTGACAGAAACCTGTCCCCTATCCCTCTGAGAGTGTGTGTGTGTGTGTGTGTGTGTGTGTGTGTGTGTGTGTGTGTGTGTGTGTGTGTGTGTGTGTGTGTGTGTGTGTGTGTGTGTGTCCATTCACACCTCCTCTAACAGAGCAAAATGATTAACAAGTCCTCTCACACCGTCTGCTCAACACCTGCAGCTCTTTTCTCCCTTTATTCTTCACCTCACACACACACACGTCATCAGGAGGGTGGATGATTTTCACTAATTAGCTTCTGGAGTGGGAATAAACAAGCCCCATCAGGATGTTTCTCCCTGATTCTCAGTCTCGAGAGAATAAAAACCCATCTGACATCCTCCAGGTCTTCTTCTGTGGTTTTATTGCAGGGGTCGAGTTTCAGTCCTCGCTCTTCATTGTGTAAAATGTATTTTAAATGAACCGTCATATGAAAGACACTTCAAACCATCTGAAAGCCTTATAAATTAAAACATCTAAAATCGTAAAATAATCATTTGCGGCTCGTCATTTGTATTACTATTATGTATGGTTGCAAAGTGACAGAACGTTTCCGGTAAATTTCCAGAAAGTTTCCACTGGAATTTTGGAAAAAATCTTTGCAAAAGCATATGAACTTAAAGTAGTTGAGAAGAAGACGTGCACGAGCAGCTCAGCTGGTTGGGAACATCGTCTGCAAGAAACAAACGTCATTACCGAGCATTATATTATATTACATTATATTATATTACATTATATTATATTACATTATATTATATTATATTACAGGTCATTTAGCAGATGCTTTTTTTTCAAAGCGACTTACATTTTTAACCCATGGCTTTTTACATTTTGCCCCGGGGAGCGATTGGGGGTTAGGTGCCTTGCTCAGGGACCGCCACGGCCACCATATTGATTACTTGGTAAACTGAAGCCATTTTCATTTTCATAACTTAATTTGTTTACAGTAGACTAACTTTACAGCAGTGAGAGTAGGATGTATGTATGACACACAAAGGTACACAATCACCTCCATTATTCACGGCTTTCAGGGTTCATCAAAAAGCGCAACTTGTCACACTACTGCATTTGAGCACAAGGACTAGATCGGCTGAGTTTTGATGATATTACTGGGCTGAATATATTTTTGATAAGACAAACAAGCTGCTCGTCGCTGGAGCTCAATGTTGAGTTGACGTGGAGCTACTGGCTGTGTTCGCTCGCTACCTGGATGTCTCCAGATATTTTTACAGGTGAAGGTATCACAAAAAAAACGTTTTCTAACTGTCTTTTCAGATAGTTGGTAACGTAGGCTAACGGACGCCTCACATATCACCTTTATTGCTGGTTACAATAATGGCGTTATCGATTTCTCACAATGTCAAAAAAGTCATTTTTTAAAGTTGTATTAGAAATATTTGTCTGCTTATGACAAGGTAAATACAGTTAAATTACCCCAAATTTCCAGTTTATTCGCATTAATTCCAGTGGAAAGTTTCCAACCTTACTATTTTCAAATATATATATATTAGACTTGGCCAAATCCTCTTTGAATTGTGGAAAAAAATTCTGGATTTTGGTGAAATAATCTACTTCGTCCCATAAAACTAAGTTTAAACAGGAACTGATCATAATTATCTATCAACTCATCTCAAACTACTTTCTCTTTTGTACAAGCTGATAATGTATCAATGCACAGTATGAGGTCTTTAACATGATTGGATATGTACATAATATTTAGGACTGGGTGCCGATTGGTTAAAGGTGATTACAGAATTATATCTTACAGGAAGTAAATATGCTGCGCCACAAAGGAAAACATAATTCCTCCTCATTATTTCTCATCCCAGACTCTCTTTTTTGTTGCTGTGACAACTGGTTATTTTGGGTTTTGTATTTCAGCACGAGAGCTGCTGCACAAACAGAATGACAAAGAAAGTTGAATTCATCATTTTATTGTGAACACGGTGAATTTGTAACAAATAAATTACAGAAAAAGGCCCTTTGCATCGTTAAAGTGCATCAGTGGGAATTAAAGTCCAACAGCTACATACTGCTGCAAAGACACACGCGTGCACACAAAGTCACAGCTTGTTGTAACGACATTTAGCGGCGCTCCCAGCGCTGCTGCCGAGGGATCTGGATCACACAGGACATCTGGATCACACAGGACATCTGGATCACACAGGACATCTGGATCACACAGGACATCTGGATCACACAGGACATCTGGATCACAGAGTTCAGATCTTCTCCTGCGGCCTCTCCCGCGTCCTCGTGGCCGCCGTTTCTCGACACGTGACGAGCCGCCCTCGCCCACGGCGTCCCGGCAGGACACGCGCCCGCTGCTCAAAGACGACAAAATCGGGTTGCGGTCTTCCTCCGTCAGCCGGACGGATCCGAGGGACTTTGAAGCTTCAGATTCTTCAGAAAGGCGTTTTCTTTCCTTGGATCCGCCTCCTCACACCGAGGTGACAGTCCGGACTTTGGCCGACAGCGCCTGCCTGAAGCGCCGTTTCAGGTCCTGCATGTTGGGCGACTTGGGCCGGGGGATGAGCGGCGAGCGCCTCTTCTCGGTGGAGCTGGTGGCCGGCGGCGGCGGCGGCGGCGTGGCTGGCGGCTGCTGCTGCTGGGCGAGCTGGCGGCACAGCCGGTGGAAGGCCTGGTGCACCTGGCTGTAGTCCTCGCTGGCCGACACCTCGTAGAAGGAGCAGCCCAGCGCGGACGCCAGCAGTTGGCCCTGCTGGGGGTCCACGCGCCGCAAGTGCAGCAGGTCAGACTTGTTGGCCAGCAGGATCACCGGGGGCATGTTGGCGCCGCCGGAGCGCGCCACCTGCCGGTGGAGCTGCTCGATCAGGTCGAAGCTGCGGCGGTCGGTGGTCGAGTACACCAGCACCACCGCGTCCGCCCACTGGATGGAGCAGGTCACATGGTCCGGGAGGTTGATGGCGTTATCGGTCATCTGGGAGAGAAGGAGGAGGCCGATTAAAATCACAGCCCGTGTATAGAAAGTGGGCGTAGTCATGGTAACGCCAGTCGTTGGTTAGAGTTAAGAATAGAAGGTGACATGATCTGGACTGAGGAGGGCGTAGAGACCTGTCAATCAGCGTGTAGCCCCGCCCTAAAGCATCCCCTGCTTTATGGCCTGTTTGACTCTAAATGGACCATCAGTCACTAAATGAACATCATGCTGCATGAAGAAGACTTGAAACTAGAGACTGAGACCATGAACTCATGTTTACAATGTTTACTGAGGGAATAAATCCAGAGAGAAGTAGAGTCATTTCCTCATAGACGTCTATGGGAGCAGAGGAGTCGCCCCCTGCTGGTCACTACAGAGAAGTAGAGTCATTTCCTCATAGACGTCTATGGGAGCAGAGGAGCCGCCCCCTGCTGGTCACTACAGAGAAGTAGAGTCATTTCCTCATAGACGTCTATGGGAGCAGAGGAGTCGCCCCCTGCTGGTCACTACAGAGAAGTAGAGTCATTTCCTCATAGACGTCTATGGGAGCAGAGAATGCAGCTTTAAAATGCGAAGCTTTGACACAATTCTTAATAACGCAAAGTTGCCTCCTGATTAAAACACTTGCAGACAGAACTAATGTCTCTGGATCATTTCCTCTGATTGGGCGAAATGGAGATGTGACCACCCACTCGGCTGCTCACATATTCGGTTTGTGGAGGCTCAGATCAGACAATATCTTTAGGTTGGATCAACTTAATAATAATAATAATAATAATATTGGGAAGCGGATCTCACCTCCACACCAGGAGTGTCCTGGACCTGGATGGTCACCTGCTCTCCGTCCACCTGGACCTCTCTGGAGTAGAGGTTACCTGAGGGAAAGAGGAACGAGAACATTGAGCACCGGGTTTCAGGACCGTCACCAAGCAACAATAAAACCCGGTTCCACGTGTCCTCCTGCTGCTGCTCGCGGGGACTCACCGGCGTTCCGCTCGTAGTCTCCGATGAAGCGCCTCGTGAGGAACCGGACCACCAGCGCTGCGATTCAAACAAGCAAACGCACCGTTAGACGAGCGGATCCGACGTGACGTGAACGCCTCTCTGCGTGCCTCTGCTCTGCTTACCGGTTTTACCGACTCCGCTGCCGCCGATCACCGCCATGCGGATGGCGCGGGGGGGCGCCGGGGGGGGCGCGGACTCCGCGATGCTCGTCATGTTCTGGATGAGGCGCATCTCCGCTGAACGTGCCGCTAATCCGTTGGCTGGAGAGGAAAGAGGGTGAATGCTGCGGGGCGGAGGAGCGCCGGCTTTTATAGAACAAGCCCCCCCCTCACACCTCCTCCCCCCCTCCCTCCTCCCTCCCCCTCGCACCTCCCCTCCTCGTGCGCCGCCTCCCACACGTGCGTAACGTGAGACTCACCGGAGAGGTCACCGGATTAACGGTTTCTCTGCCGTGATGATGTTTCACAGAATGAATCCGAGTCCTTTTTAAACATGAACGTTCGCCCTTCATGTTGGTGACGTATTCGATTCAGACGTTGAGTCACGTGGGCGACATGATGATGAGTTAGAGCAGAAACCAACGTGAACCTTCACCACTTCATAAAGCCTCGTGCTTCAATATGCAAATGAGGTGTTGACAGAAATAGAGACGTAAACAGGAAAGTAAAATAAGTTTTCTTCTCTTCAGTCACAGAAAGGGACTAAAGATCAGAATCTTTGCTGTTTTGTGTGTTTTATCTTCATTTGTGGACGATTCACAGATTCTTGTAACTTGTTTCATCGACTCGTTGTTGTTTGTTGTTTCCAGAATGGGGAGGAAGCTTCAGACCTGTTCAGACATGCGCCCCCACTTCACTGGGGGGGTCAATGGCTGCTGATGTTAATGACACACACACACACACACACACACACATCCCTCCCAGGACCCCCTGCTGTGGATGGGGGGGGGGGGGGGGGCTTCACAGCAGGAGGTTCATATGAATCACTTAAAACATCTAGAAGAGCAACATGAATCTATTCATCGAGTCCTGCAACACAACAAAACATTTTCTGCACATCAGCTGAGCAGCTGGTCTCTGTTGAGCTGCATCATGCCCCCCCCCTCTGACCCCCCCGTGGGCGCTCAGGTATTTGGCATCCCGTCCTGCTGCTGATTATCGTCTGGTATGTATTTTTGATAAGAGTGCTGATGACAGGTGGCCGCGCTGAAATGTGAAATTAGGGATTCGTGGGCCCACGTGGTTTTCCTCCAGCCGCATCACAGCGAGCTCCGCCCAGGGGCATTATGGGTAACGGGCAAACGCTGCACATACTTGCATCCGACTGCACGTTAAGCTGCAGCGTTTTCCCCCTCAGAGGAACGATGTGAGAAGAGCTGCTGCTGGAGGGGGGGGGGGGGGCATAGAGGACGTCCTTCTGCCCCTAGTCTCTATGGGGGGGCAGAGAGGGGGGGTACTGTTCCTCTTGGTGGTCTTTTTGTGCCCCTCGGCTCCCAGAGGTGTCCCAAAGCGTCCACTGGAAACTGCTGCATTGCTGGTTTCTGCTGCGGACACATCTGGGGGGGTTCGGGCCTTGAGGCCTTCACTTTCCCCGGGGGGGGGAGTGGGGGGGCCTGGAGGTAAATTACAATCCCTTTGAGAGGAGGTGGACAATTAAAAGCTACAACAGATACACAACCGAGTGTCATGGAGGTGACAATGGGGGGGGGGGGGGTGATCCTTCGGCCAATTACCAGGCGGAATTCGGGATATTCACAGCAAACCGGAGGAATGTGGGGGTAATTGGGGTTGGGGGGTCGGGGGGGGGGGGCGGGGTGATGCTTTCAGAAGGATGTCCTTTTGACAAAGAGGTGAGCATGATTTCCCCAGGAGGCCTCGCCTTCTTACAGGGGAAGAGGCCCGTTCCCTGGGGGGGTCATCATGGAGCCGCCCGGCGGTCCTGTTTTATCTGTATCCTGACAGATGTTTATCCTCCTCTCCGCCTTTCATCCCTCAGCGGGATTATTTTACCCAGAGAAAGAAAATTCATTCACGGATTCAGGGTTTCATCCTCACATCAACTCACATCTACTCGCACGTCTTGTTTGTTTGTGCCTGCGAGCGCGTTAGCACGTTAGCGCGTTAGCGTTCCCATCGGCCGATGGAGATGGTACCGACCCGCCGGCACGAAGGAACAGAGGTTGTTTTTTCTAATTGAAATGTAAAAAACTTGTTTTGCATCCCTCTGAATGTCAACAGCAAACGGCCGTGTGTGTGTGTGTGTGTGTGTGTGTGTGTGTGTGTGTGTGCTACTGCTCTGCATGACAATAGTCACACACACACACACACACTCCATGAGGTTACATTGAAGCCTGTTAAGAAACAAGACCTAGAACACATAGAGTGTGTGATGTGGTCACATTGCTCAGCGGCTGCACGCAGAGGACGAGCAGGCAAACAGGTCATGTGACCTCTGATCGATGTGATCAATGTGAGGATTATCGTGCTGTTGTCGTTGTTGTTGTTGTGCTCAACCTGTGAGGGAAAACAGTAAATCTGCATGTTTAGTGTTTCTACGCGTCGAGCAGACGATTGTTGTTCTGTTGTTCTCAACAATTTGTCCATAAGTTCAACTATTTTACACGTTTCAATCAGAAAGGTGAAACATTCAGCAAAATATATTGTTGCCTTTGACTGTAAAATATATATTTTATTCTTTAAAATGTCAAATACTTTATAACAAAAACAAAAAAAACGAATATTTAAATTGAACGTGTTCTGCTTCCGTAACACGGCTTCTCTTAATGTAAATGCAACAAATGATTATTCACATAAGAAGATTAGACGCTTTAAGGAAACATTATTGATGATAATCAATGCTCTCAATAATAATTTGAGATCTCAAGATTCTCTTTGAGACTCCTCAGCTTCAGCCCCGTTTTCATGAGTAGCTCAGTTGGCACGCATGCTGAGTCACACGCACTCACACACACACCCCCCACTTTAACACACACACACATTAACACACACCAATTATAACACGTCCGGAGATGCCTGTTCCTACCGTAATTCCTAAGGAAAAAAAAACCGAAACAGTTTTGTATGGAGATTAAATTTTCAGACAACGCACAGGTGGTGGGAGGACGGGGTTCCAGGAGTTGAGATTTATGACGTCTGTCCCCCCCCCCCCCCCGGGCCCCGTCTGTCCGTCTAGTCTGCTTTACTGCCCAGACTGAGCGGAGCTGGAGCTCCTGCTGGAGGCCGAGCGAGGTTCAGAGTCGGCCCGTGGTGCTTTAACGCAGACGGACAGCGTCCTCGAGGGCTGATCCTGGATCAGAGGTCTGATCCGTCGACCTTCAATTACACAAACAGTTGGTCTGCAGCCCCCCAGTCGCAATGCGACGGCACTTTAAGTTCCTGCAAACCTTTGGGAGACATTTGATGCAATTCACAGATTAAAGTAGTTTTTACATCAGATTTAGTGCATGTGAGTCTCACTGGAGGACAAAGAGACGCACAGAGGCAACGTCTCGCTCGTTCCTACGGAAGCTGCCCGGAAAAGAAAGAAACGTAAATAATAATAATAATAATAATAATAATAACGTAAACGATGTAAATTAACAATGTAGCTTAATAATGTAGCTTAATGCATCATCAATGTAGCATAAGAATGTAGCTTAACAATATTACACAGCCGTAAAGCAGCGCGGTGACCAAGCGACTTATGATGGTGCACAATGGAATGATTTTAACGTGTCATATGTTTGATTGTGCTGAATCCTGCAAAGTGTAAGCTTGTATTTGCTCTTTACTCTCATGATTATAAAACTATTTCTACACAACGTAAATAGATCACAACTGTCCTCGGCACACAAAGTCTTAAGCCGTAAGTTTCCCTTTTGGCTTCACGTCCGTCTCCTGGGTGAAAGTCCTTTCATGATACCTCATAACTTGCTTTGACTAAAGTGCCCCCATGACCTCTAAGGTACTGTGTGTACTGTGTGTACTGTGTCAGGTGTGCAAAGTAATGATTGGTCTTTGTGTGCAACTACAATGGGGGGAACACAATGCGTGCTTCAGATATGATGTCGCCCATAACTCCCAGTCCTCAGAGGATCGCAGTGACATGTCAGCTCGTCGGCTCACAAGTGACGACGAAGAGGGACGAAGAAGTGTTCAGGTGTAACAGTGTGAAGGTAAACAGAGAGGAACAGCACGTGCACAAGGACAACAGGCTCTGTTTGGATCTGTTTGTCACGCGGATGCATCGTCATCGCCATCATCCATCATTCTCATTGTCCCGTATTGATGAGCTCAATCGGCCCCCCAGTTCAGCCTGCCAGCCTCTTCAGGACCACATGAGGTTTGGTGGGCAGCCTGACGGACTCCTTCGACCTGGGACCGGACGAGACCCCCGTGGACACAAAGCCCCTTCTGTTATAGAAGAATAACATCTACCTGCTCAATGATCCCTCAACGACATCTGCTCTCGTCGGGTGAACGAGACAAACCCATGAAGCGTCTAAAACACGGTTTCCAGGTTGACCTCTAAGGTGAAACAAGTAAACGGAGCTGAAACAGAACCGTGAAGAACCTAAAAGACTTCTGGCGCTGCTCCGAGCGGCACAATGACGAGAGGCCGCT